ACCAACACCCAAAAACACACAACAACCCAACATTCATGACTGTCACCCACGTCTCCGACACACCTCATCAACATAAACCATAGTCAGTACAATCAAATAAATCCAATACACAACAAACCCCTCGTATTCCTTCACCGACAACATGTCGCAAATATACACACCTTCACACACACACACACACACACACACACACAAACTCCCACTAGATGCAACAGAAACAACACCAAACACAACTTCAAACATCCTTGTCACCATACACAATCAATCAATTTGTCATACAGTCATTCGTCGTTTCAGTACATTGTCACGCCTTTCTCCACTATCAAAAACAAATACCGCCAAACAAATATACATCACAACTGCCACATTTCGTTTTCAACTCAACAAAATAACTCATTATACACTCTCTCAACAGTCTGTCTTCCTAGCACCCACAACCATAACCACAACCACAACCACACTCTCCGACATAACATAACACAATCTCCAAACGAACAGATCAGTTCCTACGAATACAATACACGAACGACAGGGAGAAATCTTATCCACATAACACACATAGCAAACACCAACCGACTGCTCAACACACACACACACACTCTCTCTCTCTCTCTCTCTCTCTCTAAGCGAAAACTCAACTCACAACTCACACCACAATTATGTTATCACATTCAACCAGCATTCGTCACACAAATATATATACATATATATATAAATATATACAGGCTTACATTGATATTGTTACATGCGGACACAAGCTATCGCATGATCATACGAACAACACGGCTCTCTACATCGCACAAAGAACATCGCGCTAGACGATCACAAACCAAACAATACAACACAACACAACACTCTCACCATATCCATTCGCAAACTGACTCATCAACCACACTCACACATCGAAATGACCTACCACACAACACATTCGACCACTCATCATCACAGCAAACATCCTCTGCAATAAACATTCAAACGTCAGACGTCTCTCTATCTATCTGGATGTACGTCTCTGTGTGTGCGCACCCTTTCACAGAGGCAGACACAACAACACACATGAACATTCATTTCGCAAGGTCATTAGTATTCCATGGAACAACAACCAGGAATGTGGAGCTCTTGCACAACAATCACCTCGACTGACAGACAAATTCAAACACTCAACAAACCAACAACAGATACACACACACACACATACATATATATATATACATATATACAGTCGACCTCACTCACATACCATCCCGCATCAAACCGATCACCCATATTCACCAACACCCAAAAACACACAACAACCCAACATTCATGACTGTCACCCACGTCTCCGACACACCTCATCAACATAAACCATAGTCAGTACAATCAAATAAATCCAATACACAACAAACCCCTCGTATTCCTTCACCGACAACATGTCGCAAATATACACACCTTCACACACACACACACACACACACACACAAACTCCCACTAGATGCAACAGAAACAACACCAAACACAACTTCAAACATCCTTGTCACCATACACAATCAATCAATTTGTCATACAGTCATTCGTCGTTTCAGTACATTGTCACGCCTTTCTCCACTATCAAAAACAAATACCGCCAAACAAATATACATCACAACTGCCACATTTCGTTTTCAACTCAACAAAATAACTCATTATACACTCTCTCAACAGTCTGTCTTCCTAGCACCCACAACCATAACCACAACCACAACCACACTCTCCGACATAACATAACACAATCTCCAAACGAACAGATCAGTTCCTACGAATACAATACACGAACGACAGGGAGAAATCTTATCCACATAACACACATAGCAAACACCAACCGACTGCTCAACACACACACACACACTCTCTCTCTCTCTCTCTCTCTCTCTAAGCGAAAACTCAACTCACAACTCACACCACAATTATGTTATCACATTCAACCAGCATTCGTCACACAAATATATATACATATATATATATAAATATATACAGGCTTACATTGATATTGTTACATGCGGACACAAGCTATCGCATGATCATACGAACAACACGGCTCTCTACATCGCACAAAGAACATCGCGCTAGACGATCACAAACCAAACAATACAACACAACACAACACTCTCACCATATCCATTCGCAAACTGACTCATCAACCACACTCACACATCGAAATGACCTACCACACAACACATTCGACCACTCATCATCACAGCAAACATCCTCTGCAATAAACATTCAAACGTCAGACGTCTCTCTATCTATCTGGATGTACGTCTCTGTGTGTGCGCACCCTTTCACAGAGGCAGACACAACAACACACATGAACATTCATTTCGCAAGGTCATTAGTATTCCATGGAACAACAACCAGGAATGTGGAGCTCTTGCACAACAATCACCTCGACTGACAGACAAATTCAAACACTCAACAAACCAACAACAGATACACACACACACACATACATATATATATATACATATATACAGTCGACCTCACTCACATACCATGCCGCATCAAACCGATCACCCATATTCACCAACACCCAAAAACACACAACAACCCAACATTCATGACTGTCACCCACGTCTCCGACACACCTCATCAACATAAACCATAGTCAGTACAATCAAATAAATCCAATACACAACAAACCCCTCGTATTCCTTCACCGACAACATGTCGCAAATATACACACCTTCACACACACACACACACACACACACAAACTCCCACTAGATGCAACAGAAACAACACCAAACACAACTTCAAACATCCTTGTCACCATACACAATCAATCAATTTGTCATACAGTCATTCGTCGTTTCAGTACATTGTCACGCCTTTCTCCACTATCAAAAACAAATACCGCCAAACAAATATACATCACAACTGCCACATTTCGTTTTCAACTCAACAAAATAACTCATTATACACTCTCTCAACAGTCTGTCTTCCTAGCACCCACAACCATAACCACAACCACAACCACACTCTCCGACATAACATAACACAATCTCCAAACGAACAGATCAGTTCCTACGAATACAATACACGAACGACAGGGAGAAATCTTATCCACATAACACACATAGCAAACACCAACCGACTGCTCAACACACACACACACACTCTCTCTCTCTCTCTCTCTCTCTAAGCGAAAACTCAACTCACAACTCACACCACAATTATGTTATCACATTCAACCAGCATTCGTCACACAAATATATATACATATATATATAAATATATACAGGCTTACATTGATATTGTTACATGCGGACACAAGCTATCGCATGATCATACGAACAACACGGCTCTCTACATCGCACAAAGAACATCGCGCTAGACGATCACAAACCAAACAATACAACACAACACAACACTCTCACCATATCCATTCGCAAACTGACTCATCAACCACACTCACACATCGAAATGACCTACCACACAACACATTCGACCACTCATCATCACAGCAAACATCCTCTGCAATAAACATTCAAACGTCAGACGTCTCTCTATCTATCTGGATGTACGTCTCTGTGTGTGCGCACCCTTTCACAGAGGCAGACACAACAACACACATGAACATTCATTTCGCAAGGTCATTAGTATTCCATGGAACAACAACCAGGAATGTGGAGCTCTTGCACAACAATCACCTCGACTGACAGACAAATTCAAACACTCAACAAACCAACAACAGATACACACACACACACATACATATATATATATACATATATACAGTCGACCTCACTCACATACCATCCCGCATCAAACCGATCACCCATATTCACCAACACCCAAAAACACACAACAACCCAACATTCATGACTGTCACCCACGTCTCCGACACACCTCATCAACATAAACCATAGTCAGTACAATCAAATAAATCCAATACACAACAAACCCCTCGTATTCCTTCACCGACAACATGTCGCAAATATACACACCTTCACACACACACACACACACACACACACACACACACAAACTCCCACTAGATGCAACAGAAACAACACCAAACACAACTTCAAACATCCTTGTCACCATACACAATCAATCAATTTGTCATACAGTCATTCGTCGTTTCAGTACATTGTCACGCCTTTCTCCACTATCAAAAACAAATACCGCCAAACAAATATACATCACAACTGCCACATTTCGTTTTCAACTCAACAAAATAACTCATTATACACTCTCTCAACAGTCTGTCTTCCTAGCACCCACAACCATAACCACAACCACAACCACACTCTCCGACATAACATAACACAATCTCCAAACGAACAGATCAGTTCCTACGAATACAATACACGAACGACAGGGAGAAATCTTATCCACATAACACACATAGCAAACACCAACCGACTGCTCAACACACACACACACACCTCTCTCTCTCTCTCTAAGCGAAAACTCAACTCACAACTCACACCACAATTACGTTATCAAATTCAAGTCTATGTTGTGTTGTGCGTTGTTCAGTATGTTCTGGTACTTATGACATGACATGAAGGTCTAGAAACTTGTGTGATATATGCGATACTATGATTGTTCATATTCGTGAAAGATACAGTGCCTGTGGTATTCATATCACATGTATTTACACTTAGATATCGTGGATTTTGGCCTTATGAAACGCCACTCGCTGAAGTAATTGATGACACGCTCATTTCTAAGACAAGATACAGTTACATACAGTGAACGGGCATTATTCGATGTCCAGTTTTGTGATGTTTTATATTACAGATATAGAACACTGAATAATATTATTGATAATATTAAAATCACACAGTTGTTACCTGGTTGTTGGACTGTTCGAACTATTTCTTTTTCCTTTATATGGTAGAAAAACTCGTCTTGAGTAGATCGTTACCTGATGTGATGTATCAGTTGAACAAAAATTTTATCTTCAATACTGTACATTTTGTGGATCAAATATTCAACAAATACATAGTCAATTGCAAAATAGTGAGTTTAAAGGCAGTTATCATTTATACAGCAAAAAAATATATTTTTAGATGAACGAGAAATGAATATTACTCGGTCAAATGACTGACTCAAGCGCCGTCCAAATGTTACAAATAGATAGTATTTAATTTAAAAGGAATCTGATAAGGTGGGAGATATACGTAAATTTTCCGTGGTCGATTTCTCAATGATGGCATTTATTCGATTGACAGTTTCGAAAACGACAGTCGGTGAACACTGGTCTTGTAACATCTTTAATTTTCTAAAGACCATTGCCATAGCACTATTGACGTCAATTCGCTTATCCCTCGTCAGACCAGTTGATAGTGGTTGAAGATTATGAGATCTAAGCCACCGCGGGTATCTACAAGGTGTACCTAGATCCCGAATAAATTTTAAACCAACTTACCTGTATGCAAACCAATAGAAAAGTGGACTTTCATGAGATGTCTGCATGGTAGCAACTCAACTGAATTTAGTGAACAAGAACACACGCCATTATTTCTATCCACTCTGTAAGAATTCCCATCATCTGAACAATATACGCAATCGTTCTCAACTTGTTCAATGGTGATGTCACTTTCGCGTACGATGTCGTTGTAGGTTTTATCAGAAGCATAATCTGTGAGTTGATTGAGAAATTCATGTAACTCTTCGTCTACATTGAACCTTTTGTGTTTGAGAAGGCGAAAAGAAGTCTCATTTTCTAAGAGGTTACAGTATTTTTTAACTTCCTTATGTAAAGCCATCAAGCAATCTTTCAGAGAGTTATTTTCTTTAAGTGCTTCTCGTATACGCGGATGAACGCATTTTACTACACCATTGACTTTCGTACCTAATGTAACAACATTTTGTAAGAACGCTGGCACCCACATTTCTTTTATAGGGATCCAATGTTGAATGACATAATCATAAACCTTCGAATCTAACTTCTTCATATTTTGTAGATCAGATTTAAATCTGAAAAGGTTTGATAAAGTTTTTATTTACTTGTTTGGACATAACGTAGATGTCAACCCAGCAAAAATTTTATTTGCAACGGGACTTTTAAACTACTTGTACGTTAAAGAAGGAGAATGTATAATACCTTTCTCTTAAAGACCTTTCTAACGTATGACGAACTCAAAACAATTCTTGAAGTTGGAAAAAATTCCTGCACCAACTCCGGTTTAGAAACTGGGCAATCTACAGCTACTGTTAGGGTTGAGCTAACATCCTTAAAAATTTCACGGAAATGCTTTAGCAAAACGCACAGATCTTCTGTTTGTTCTGTGGAATGTAATGAAAACATGATGGGTCTTGTACATAGAAGACCATCTGTTACAGCTACCTGGAAAATAGTAAATCTAAGAAGTTGGAAAGAATACTTTACACTTACCCAACGAGACAAGCGTTGTAGGTGACACTGAAACTAAGAACTTCTGGGAACCTCTTATATAATTCGATCTGTTCATAGTGTGACAAAGAGACTTGAGTAATCTCACCGTCACACTGCTCCACGAACACAATAGAATCTTTACGTATTTCATCTAGTACGTCTGAAAGTTTCTTGGAACCTTAATATAGATAATTTCATGAAGTCAATCAAACCAGGGAAAACTTGATTGCGAAGTATCTTGACTTCCCAAGAAGTCAGTGGCCTAAACAATCTTGAACTAACAAAGGCTAGTATAGTTTTCATTCCGCAATCACACTCCAATAACTGCTTTAGCAGTTTCTCATCTTCTTCATTTAAACCAAGTCCAAGAAATCCCTCGGAACCCATTTTTGTATAACCGCCACGTTATGCTCAACCTTCAGACTTGCTCAAATGCTTTAAATGGTTCAAATGGTTGTAGACGGAATAGAAGAAGCTTTCGCTTAACAGGCTTCCGTGTCTAGTAGCAGGGGGTCAACAAATCCTCCAGGCAGGAACCTGGGTATGTTAACAATAAAAGAGGAAAACGAAATTGGTAAATCATAGTATGATGCTGTCCTTTGTCCTTAAGAATAGGTCAAGTTGCCTCTTGAAGGACTCCTGAGAAGTCACTTGGACTAGCTCGGCCGGCAGCGAGTTCCAGCATTTGAAAACTTTTAAGGAATAGAAGTTATGTCTACATTCCGTTTTGCTATGTTTTGTCTACAGTTTCTGGGTGTTACCCCTTAGGTTAGTGTTCGAAATAAGCTTAAGTAGTTGTTTATGAGGATGTCCAGAAGTGTTGAGAATACTATAAGCCATTAGTAGATCACCTCTAAGACGCCTATACTCTAATGGGTAAAGGTCTAGATTTAGATTTGAGTCCTCGAACTGATTTCGTGGCTCGCCGTTGGATACTCTCCAAAGTGTCCTTATCCTTTTGGAGTGAGGGGGGAAGTACTATGTCTCCATACTCTAATTGGGGACGGATGAAACTCTTGAAAATTATATGGAAAGTTCTTCCGTCGAACTGTCCAAAAATGCGCTTCAACGTTACCAGTGCAAGGTTTGCCCGGAAGGCATTTTCGTCACAGTTAGCGTAAGACTTTAAATCATGGGGCACCAGGACTCCTAAATCTTTTTCTACTTGGGATACTACCAAAGAGGAGTTTCCCAAGCTTTAACTGTAGTCTGAGACATGTCGCAGATGGACTACTTCACATTCTGAAGTGTCAAAAGTAAGTCTATTACTATCTGTCCAACTTTGGAGGCGAGTCAGATCCTCCTAAAGTGCCTGTATATCGTCTTGTAAAAGTGCTTCAAATGTTCCATAAGATCTTAGGCTGCTCTACTGAAGATAGTTTTGAATATAAAGAGTTTGAATTTTCACGTTTATTTATCCGTAGCTGTTGAAACTAAACCACTTGTTCATCCAATCACAGGGATGGGTAGGATGAGTCCAAATGGCTTGTATTCTCGAAAGCGCGCTGACTAGCTCCCGAAAAGTTGAGATTGGTTAAGAACGAATTCGACCACATGATAGACTTAGGAATCATCCGACCATCAAACAGCCCATGGCCATCTCCGTTGCACATAGTCCCTAAAATGGAGGGCAATGATTGGCGCACAACTTGTGACTATCGGCAATCGAATGCAAAAACCAGTCCCGACCGTTACCTGTTTCCGCACATTCAGGATTTGACAGCTGTCTTTAAAGATATGACTCTTTTTCGAAAATCGACTTGGTTGAAGCACATAACCAAATTCCCATGGCTATTGACGATATTCCTAAAACTGTTATCACCACCCCTTTCAGAATCTACGGATGTTTGCATGCCATTTGGTTTGAGAAATGCTGCACAAACTATCCAGAGATTCGTCGATGACGTTTTTCGAGATCCTAACACAGTACATGCCTATGTTGACGACTGCTTGATAGGAAGTCCGGACAGAGAATCACATCCTCAGCATCTAGACCTTGTCTTCGAACGACCACTAAAACACAGCATTACTGTAAACATTCAGAACCGAGCACAATCAAGCAATTACGCACGTTTAACGCCTGGTAAGTCTCTTATGAGACCTTTAATCGACCAACTTCGTGGAAACGCGAAATCCATCAATTTGGACGATATCGCGAAGAATGTATTATCTACAGTTAAGGAGCTTATCGCCAAAAACAACATTGCACGTATATCTGGACACCAAAACATCCACTAGTATGTCAGTGTACGCATCCAATCGGGTATTCGGAGTCATACAACAATGGGTTAACCACACCGGGCAATCTTTGTAGTGGGGTTGGCGAGCCCATCCCATAGAAAACTAACTCGCTAAAAAACGCTAAGCAGAAGGAATAATTCAAACCATTTAAACTTTGTCCTGGGAGTTAAAAGGCCTTCATTTTAAAAAGTTATAATGCCCCATGGTGAAAGCCGAGTTTCTTCGGAAGCCATAAAGCCAATGCCCCTTCTAACAACCAGAGCAACCATTTATTTAGGTACATGGAATGCCCATACAATGTAGGAGACTGAGAGAGTCTTCCGAATTGTTACAGAAATGAGGCGATACAACCTAGAGGTGCTTGAGACCAGTGAAACACATTGAACGGAAGTTGGACAACAACGACTTGCTTCAGGGAAGCTTCTATTATACTCTGGCCATGAAGTAGAAAATGCCCCACATACACAAGGAGTTGCATTGATGCTATCAAAACAAGCACAAACAGCAATTATAGGATGCGAATCTCATGGACACAGGACTATCAAATCCTCCCCCAAAACGAAGAAATAGGGCATTGCAATGAACGTCATACAATGCTATGAGCCTACCAACCATTACAATGAGGACGCTAAAGATCAATTCTACGATAAGCTGCAGTCAATCGTGGAGAAATGCTCAACAAAGGACTTGACAATTCTGATGGGAGATTTCAACGCCAAGGTTGGAATGGACAACACCGGATATGAAGACATCATGAGACGACCACATAGACTTCACCGGATCACACTACGCAGAATCGAATCGACCATATCTGCATCATTAAAAAGTTCAGGAGGACAATGGGGGATGTAAGAACCAAGAGAGGAACTGATATAGCATCAGATCATCACTTGCTGGTCGGCAAGATGAAACTGAAACTCAAGAAGCCCTGGACAATGGGGCGGACAATATCACAAAAGTTTAATACGGTTTTTCTTCGGGATACTGACAAACTCAACAAATTCAAGATAGTCATCAGCAATAGGTTCCAGGCCTTTCATGGTCTACTCAAAGAAGAGGGAACTACTATGGAAAGTAACTGGAAAGGGATAAAAGAGGCAATCACCCCAACATGTCGTGAGGTTCTGGGCCACAAGAAGCACAACCACAAAGAACGGACCATTGTTGAGACACTGGATAAGATTCAAGAAAGGAGAAACAAGAAGGTAGCAATCAATACCAGCCGGGCAAGAGCAGAGAAAGTCAAGGCACAAGCTACATACACAGAAGTAAACAAGCAGGTGAAGAGGAGCGTCAGAAACGTCCAACCTAAATATGTGGAGGATTTAGCAATGACGGTGGAAAAGGCTGCAAGAGAAGGAAACGTGAAACAACTGTAAGAGCGGCAAAGCAGCAGGACCAGACAGCATTCCAGCAGAGGCACTGAAAGTAGATGTAGCAGTAACTGCAAGGATACTCCACATTCTCTTCAGCAGGATTTGAGATTAAGAACAAGTGCCAACAGACTGGAAAAAGGACTTCTGGTCAAAATACCAAAGAAAGACGATTTCAGCACGTGTGGTAACTACAGGAGCATCACTCTTCTCTCAATACCAGGGAAAGTTTTCAACAGGGTATTGTTAAACAGGATGAAGGACTGAGTAGACGCCCAACTTCGTGACCAACAGGCAGGATTCCGTAAGGATAGATCGTGTACAGACCAAATCGCAACTCTACGGATCATTGTGGAACAATCAATTGAATGGAATTCATCACTCTACATCAACTTCATTGACTACTAAAAGGCATTTGATAGCGTGGACAGAACAACACTATGGAAACTTCTTCGACACTACGGCTTGCCTGAAAAGATTGTCAATATCATATAGAATTCCTTTGATGGATTAAAGTGTAAAATCGTGCATGGAGGACAGTTGAAAAACTCGTTCGAATTAGAGACCGGTGTCAGGCAAGGTTGCCTACTCCACCCCTTCTCCCTCTTCTGTTGATAGACTGCATCATAAAAAAGTCAACATCTGAAGGGAAACGTGGGATGCAGTGGACATCTAGGATGCAGCTGGACAATCTAGACTTCGCAGATGATCTGGCCTTCCTATCGCAATCGCAACAACAAATGCAAGAGAAAACGATCAGTGTAGCAGCAGCCTCAGCAGCAGTAGGTCTCAATATACACAAAGGGAAAAGCAAGATTCTCCGATACAATACAGAATGCACCGATCCAGTCACACTTGACGGAGAAGACTTGGAAGATGTAAAAACCTTTACGATATGTAAGCAACATCATTGATGAACACGATGGATCTGATGCAGATGTGATGGCGCGGATCGGCAAAGCAAGAGCAGCATATTTACAGCTGAAGAACATGTACAACTCAAGGCAACTGTCAACCAACATCAAGGTCAGAATTTTCAATACAAATGTCAAGACAGTTCTACTGTATGGGGCGGAAACCTGGAGAACTACGAAAGCCATCATCCAGAAGATACAGGTGTTTACTAACAGTTGTCTACGCAAAGTACTTCAGATCCGTTGGCCGGACACTATTAGGAACAACGCACTGTGGGATAGAACAAACCGGATCCCAGCGGAGGAAGAAATCAGGAGGAAGCGCCGGAAGTAGATAGGACACACAATGATGAAAGCACTCAACTGCATCACAAAATAAGCCTTACATGTAATCCTTAAGGCCAAAGGGAAGGGGGAAGACCAAAGAACACAATGCGTCGAGAAATGGCGACAGACATGAAAAGGATGAAAAAAAATTTGATAGAACTAGAAAGGAAGGCCCAGGACAGAGTGGGTTAGAGAATGCTGGTCGGTGGCCTATACTCCACTGCGAGTAACAGGCGTAGACAAGTAAATAAAAACAAAGGCAAACTGTTTTTAATATGCTCGTCACTATTATTGTGTAAAAAGGCGGAGGTTTTTAATTTCAAATATGCTTGCTCATGTGTGCACATTTTAATTTTTTAATGTTCATTCTGCGAAAATCGGTTTGACGCTATCTCATGTTTACGAAACACATGTATGTAAGTTTGTTTTTCCTTAATCGTCCGTTTTGTGTCTTTGCGCATATACAAGTGTGATTCGACGCGCAACTATGTATCTTATCTTTTGCTTTCCAGGACGGCTAGAAAACATAAAA